AGGATTGCTTGCTTGTCTTGTTAGAAGCCTTGTGCTTGTACCCCTTGTTGTAGCATGTGAACTCCAATAAAATTGTTGTGTTCAATTGATTTTTTTACACTCTTATGTCTTGCTTAGCAAATAAATTAAACAGAAAATAGCTAGGATTTTAAGTAGTGCACATTTCTCTGCAAGCAATTAGAGTAGAAAATCTTTGTGGTAGTTGACCTGCTGAGATTAATTCAAATATTCAGTGGTTCTAATGTCTTCTGCCTTACTTCATCAAAACTTGAACACAACAGTCTTCAGGAGGAACTATAGGAACTACTCATTTTCCCAGGACATTGTTTTTGGGCAAGGTAGGGAGACAGGGAGGAGAGAGGCAGGAATGATGCTTGTATTGGGTATGCATGGTAAGGTTTCAGTAGCAGAGGCCTACAGGGGTGGCTTCTGAGAGAAGCTGCCAGAAGCTTCCCCTGTGTCTGACAGAGCCAGCTGGCTCCAAGACAGACCTGTTGCTGGCCAAGGCTGAGCCCATTAGTGATGGTCATAGCACCTATGTGGTAACATTTAAGGGGGAAGTTTCCCAACTTGAAGTCATTCACCATAAGCTTTCTGTGTTTTTGAAAACAACAAAATCCAGTTTGTGTCTGGGGCAAATCTGGATGTTTGGAGGCACGTGGTCCTGAAAAGTCCTGGGTGGGAGTTTCCAAATTCTTCCTACCTGATGTCAGATAAGACACAAACTGAGTATTTTAATCAGGTGGAGGGATCATGAAGTGAATGGAAGAAGGGAGAGAGGTGATGTGGAAGAGCCAGCAGATTTTGCACTGACTCAACTGTATTTGTAATTAATTTCATATGATGCTTTGTGTTTACTTCAGCTCCCCACGACCCGCTTATGATCTGTTGGACCAGTATTAGCCACACCTGGCAATGCAATCAATTTAATGATGTTTAAGGAGCTTCTATAAGGGGCCAGCATAAACAGGTGTTGCTCAAAAGCCTTCTCCTTTCTGGGATGAGCAGACCAGTTCTCTTTGGCTCACAGGGACATGCAGGGAAAGAAGATCCTCAGTATGTTGGTACCCTTTCCCACCCCCAGCTCCCCACACCATATCAAAGTGTGACAAGTGAGAGATTTAAGAAATACCAGAAAGAAGACGAGGCTAACGCAATTCAATTGTGAGACATTAAACAAAACAAAACAAACCAAACAAAAAAACCAAAGACATCCATTTATTCTGGTGCTCATAAATGGTTTCATTTTCCCTTATAGAAAAAACTCAATTTCTTATTGTCTTCCCCATCTCCACGTGAAATCCACAGACATAGTGATTATTCCCTGTTTCCTCTTGTTAAATGGGTGGCACACTGAACAATTAAGGTTTTTTTGTTCATAATAAGCTACAATGTCTAAAAGAAGAGAGAGACTCAATTTTAAAATAGTCTGGAGAGTGAGAGGACAGACAGTATGCTGTCTTATAGAAACCAGGTCTTAATTTGTAGTAAAGTAGAAGCCTTTTCTTCTTGAGGACTATGAAATAAATTTCACCACTCACTGCTTTTGATTTTCAGCATTAGCACTTGCTGGGGGAGGTAATCTACTTTCTAGTGTCCCAACCTGAGATGATCAGTAAATATCATTATCCAAGAGGTTTTTTGCTATTATAAATCCTGTCCTCAAGGAATACAACCCTTTCTCAATGAAGCCAGTGTGAAGGAACAAGATCAGCATGGGAGAGATTCCAGGCATGGAGGAAAACATACAGCAATTGACAGGACTTTATGATAAGGACTTTACAGTTCTTATGTGTTTATAAATATACACATTGTATGTTTCCCCAGGATTTGTATCTCCGGGGCAAGCCCAGGCATGCCCGCTTCCCTGCTTCCCTCTCTGATAGGCTGAAGAAGCTGCAGAGAGGAGACGGTTACCATTCGCCCTTTACTTCCCCGATTCCTCCCACGTTCCTCCGCCTTTTGCCTGTGTCCCTACCCCGATTTGTTCCCCTGTTTGTCTGTGTCATGATCCACCCCATGTTCTAGCCCTTTCCCTGCCTGAACTGATAAAAATCGCGTGCATGCCTCAATAAAGTATTCCATCTGCACCCCCACCTTGCCTCCGGACCTGTCCGTGCTGTGTCACGGCCCCATCCCCCCTCGGACCGTGGCAAGCCAGTCTCAGTAGTGTCCCAGTTCAGACTGCCTGTGCCATGTGTCACTCTAAAAGCAATTACAAAGTTGTTATTGGGAGACAGACTGCGGAAAAACCCCACACATATACTGGTGATTCTCTGAACCTTGGATCACTTTGTAGGGCTGGCTTCTTCAAAAGCAGCCCAGACATAAACTGAAAGGCCAATTTTACTTATTGTTCACTTACTAAAAGTCTTAAACAACTGAACATAGTTGTAACAGTTTAAATGAAGCTATAACGTATGATATATAGAAAATAATATTCCTGATTAGTGAACAGATTAGTCCAAAATAAGTTTTTCAACTCAGTTATGAACATTTGAAGACATGTTTTCTCTCAATTTGAGCATGAAAAGTGGAAAAGTTACTAGATTTGAAGTAACTTTGTATGAATGGCAGATAAGATGCAAGTGAAACATGTTGCAATAAATAAATATACAGGTTGGGTTCTATAATTTTCCATTGCATTAATTTGTCTGAATATATTTAGATCAGTAATTTAGACTGGAAATTAAGGCTGTTTATGGCAACTGCTGCATGTTGATGGAAATATCGTTTCATGTGCTGTACTTTAAAACCATGTCATTGACTTTTTAAAACTGCTTTAAAGTTAAATGCACAAAATTATTTTAGCAAAATATTTGCCATACAATTAAAACACAAAAGATGAGAAGTTAAAGGTCTTGCATATTTTATGCAAAAGATTTAATTTTTCCAAGAGCAATTTAACCTATCTGGAATTACTTTTATAGAAAGACACTGTCAGATGTAGTCAAAATATCTTAGCCAAATCTAGCTTTCTCACCATTCTCTCTTCAGTTTTAATTCTGCATTTATTAATATATGCACTAATTTATTTTTGGCATTTTAATTTCTCAGAGCCTGATTGAATGATCCTATGGTTATAGAATAAAAGCAGAGGTCTCAGGAAACTCTGTGGGAGCTCTAATTTAGTGTTTCATTCCTAGGAGAACATACTGAAATTGCAGATTTTCCTTCACAGTGCCCACGGATAGAATCCTTTGTCGGTGTACCTGCATCTGGGTGAACTTCGCCCACCCAACTGCCTGCCCATTTCATCATAAGTGATCCCAAGACCTTCACAAAGTCATTACTTCTTGAAGGGGACAGTGTTAGTTTCAGTTTTACTCACATCAAGGATGGATAGTACATAAGTGAGTCAAACTGCCAATGTCCTGAGTGTCCAGAGCAATCAGTGGAAAAAAAAGATCAATTCCTACCAGGATACCCTACCTCAAGAATAGTTGCTCAGTCTCAGGAGAAGTCAGACACATTTTGCCTGCTTCTAGAAATGAGTAGTAGTGAGGAGGAAGAGACAAGGCAGATTCCTGCAGTTTTCAATGACGCAAACTAATAGGCTCCAAATGTTACCCATGGTGGTAAAGGGAGGCTGGGATTGTCTTCAAAGAGAAGAGCAAGAGTGTGGGTATTTGAGGGGAGAGAAGGAAACAGCATAGACAGTGGGGAAAGAAAGCAAATAATAAGAATATTAAAACACTCAAAATGAAAATTCAATAGTTGTAAAATTGAATGCTGTTCCTAAAGTTACAAGTAAGGCTTTGGCATGCTTAAAAATTTCATTTCACTAGGAGGGAAGGGTAAAATGAAAGAAGTAAATTTCAATAAATACGGAGAGAGCTTTTATCTTGTATTTTCAATTGGTTACTCTGAAGGGGTGCTCAGAAGAAAATGAAAACCTGAATAACTTCTTGAATACAGATCTCCTCTTGAATAATGTGAATTCTTCTTGAATCTCCTCTTTCTAATTGAAAATCATGCACGGCAAAGCCCCTGGCTGACAGGCAATGCTTGGAGAAATAGCCACTGAATCTGAGTACCTCTGTTCTTGATTGCCTCTTCTGCTATGCCTTACACAGTGCAATAAAAATAAATACATAACAGGACAGGACAGCTGACTGACATGCAGACGCACAACCTGCAATTGCATGACCTGTTTGTAAAAACACTGTTTGTAAAGACACTGTTTGAGATTGTTATCCACTATAATGAGCACAACAATATTTATAAAGAGGTAAATTAAGAGAGCACTGTAGGCAATTAACAAATATGCCACTATCAATACTTCCATCCAATTTAACAGGTACATTATTCTTCATCCTAAAGATCTGCTCAATTTTTTTACAGTGATTAGTCATCTGTATATTTTCCCCCTCTTCTTACACTGAAAGGCATTTAAAATTACTTGAACTTGTTTAAAAAGTGGCTTGATTACAGCAATATGGAGAACTTAGATCAGTGCTTTGAAAATGCTTAGAAATGAATCATCACATTCAAACAGATTAAAGTCTCATATTCTACCCCCTACACTTAAACACTTAAATTACAAAAATATTATAAAATTCCTTCCATAACATGCATTTGAAATGCATTTGGAGCTCTCTTAAGTCATGATATTCCAGTTGAAAAGTTGTCACAAAAGTTCAATTTTGTTTAGATCTTTCTAATCCTTTGATCTGTGTTTAGATCTTCCTTCTAATTTCTGGGATGCAAGCAGCTCATACTTGCTTGTTTTTGTGTCAGTTTTTTTTTGTGACTCGGTAGTTCTATTCCCTTCCTGTTTATCACTGAGTCACATCCTCTCTAAGCCTTTGTTCTAATTACCAAAGCAATTTTTTTCTGATATGATAACCTGAGCTCCCCTAGTCACCCAAGCAGTTTCCTCTGCATCCACCTGGCTTAAGAGTGGTGGTACTGAGCATCCAGTGCCCACACATTTAGAAGGTTTCCATTTTGGAGTTTGTCTAGTCCCTCTCTGTGAACTGAATGCCCATTAGCAGTTAGTGCACTTTAAATGTGCAGTTTAGTTTCTCCTCAATGAATCAGGTCCAGGTGTTCTATGACCACTCTGTGGTGTGAACAAGGTGTGGTCAGCAGTGATTCCCTTAAAAAACACCCATCTGGTCCAGACTGAAATGCTGTTGTAGACAATCTCTGATAACACCACAGAACTTGACTGAGGAACTGGAATTTACTACAGTTTCCTTTTCCAAAACTCTTCCTTTTGATTCTGTATACTCAGAGTCACACATGATAATTGGTTGTTGCCCTCCACTGCTATTAATTATAATGCGCCATCAAGGGTTTTTTATGGAGAATGCAGAGATTGCCATAGGCAATTAAAAAATATGCCACTTCTTACTACCCCAAATATCTTGATATTATTTTTTCTCATAGAATAAATCAATTAATAGAAAATCCATTTTTAATAAGAAACAATTTTAAAATGCAAGTACTAAAAGGAGTGATCATATAGACACTTCACATAATCATGCTTCTCAGTTTTTTGTTTTAACAGTTTCTTTTTTTGTTGTTGTTGTTTTTTGGTTATTCCATAATGGCATAGTTTTACTTGGATCTAAATGTGTTGAAAGGCACATTAGCCAAGAGAGGGGGGAAAAAGGAGCTATATATAGTTTTCCTGTCCCTTTAGGGAACCATTGCTTGAGCCTCATTAATATACATTTTAGCACAATCTAATTTACTCATATGGCTGGCCCCAGGTGTTTGGAAAGGCAACCAGAGGAAAATCAGATCATACTAAAATTAGAGACAAGAAATATTGAACGCCTTCCCTTTTAGGTCCTTGAAAAGCACATATTAATTATAACTGGATGAATTTATGAAAACTAATATTATCAACAGCTCCAATAGTAATTATTTTTGAAAAATTATCTTTGCCAATAAGTGTATTCTGGTCAAAGTGCAGAGAAAATATTTTGTTAAAGAACATATGTATATATGTCCCCCTCCAAACACAAAATTTTTAGTGCAGTGCCCCTTCTGCTATATATTTAATCACTGAAAATCATAATGCAAACCCTCATTTCATGTGTGCTGTTTTTTGAACAGTTTCAAGTGAGGCAGAGCATTAGAATTTGATGGATTTGTCAGTTGCTTCTAAGACTGCATCTCTGCTGGGTTACAAAAAGCCAAGGCCAGCAACACTGGGAAGGGAAAAGTGCGGAAGTGTAGGGAAAAAAAGGTTAGAAAACTGTCTCTGTATGATCTGATAAGGAGCTCCTTGCTTTTATGATGTCAATAGGAAGCTTTGGCAAGCAAGTGTTCACAGCTGGTCTCTGAGCTGCTAACGGGATGGAGTGGTTCAATAAAGGGGTTTTATATATTAATTTCCCAAGTGTCATCTTGATTTGCAGCAGGAAACATAAGCAAAACAATGTCAAACACATTAGCCCTGAAGGTGCCTTTGGAGCAGCACTCGATGCTCTGCCCTTGCCCAGATGCTCTGAACTCTTCAACTGGGGAGGTGCTTGCCTGGGGAAGAGACTATTTCAGAATCAGTCCTTAGGGCTTGAACAGCCTGAATTACAGTGGTGGCAGGCTACTGAGGGATGCATATGTTATGAAAACACTTAGTCATCTTTAGTGAGATTCTGATCTGAAATATCTGACCTTCCTATGATTCAGGAATAGTGAGACACCAGCGGAGAGGACAGTAACCACATGGGTAGCAGCACGGGGGCCTGTATGACCTGTGCTTGGAGAAGCAGCGTTGACTAACAGAGCTGCTCCACCCTGCCATTCCCACCCAGGAGACAGTCTACAAGTCCTTAGAGGGCCTCAGTTCTCCCCAGGCTCCCCACAGGGTGCTCTGAAGAGTTTTAATCCTTTCGATAGAAATTTGGTAAGCGATCCTGTTATTTCAGCTTGGAGACAAATTTGCTTATTTGTTAAGAAGAGTAGTCAGCTTGGTTTCTAACAGGGTGTGATTTCGGGAGATACCACACTGAAGCATACTCACATGCACATCATCAGATGTTTGTCAGATATACTGTTCATTACACCTCAGTGAAGCACTGTGGACAAACATTACTTTGATGTGATAAGCAGGGTGATATTAAACATGAATACTGGAGTGCACTATTAAGAAGGAGCTTAAAATATACTTACAGAAAGGAATAGAGTCTCCAAAGAGGGTGTCATTTAAGAGTAGTCCATCTAAAGATCATTTCCCTAAAGGAAAACATCAAAGAGAGGATAGGAAATATGTTTTAGGCTCTGATTCTGGAAAGAAATCAAAGATATATGAATTTCATTAAATCACCGAGGAGTTTAAGAAGAAGTAGATTCAAAATGTACATGAAAAATATTGCAGTAAGTGAAAAATAAAATATCCAGTGACTGGAGAAAAATAAGACAAAAGAAGATGATGAAAGAATGATAATTCAGAAGTAACATAGGGAAAGAAGTTACACTGCTAGACAGAAAAATATACTATGAGAAGTAGTTTTTGCTCCTATCTGACCACAAAACCAACCAAAGCCTATTCCCAGAACCAATCTGTACATAAATATGATCCTTCACCCTTGGCAAACTAATTATAGGACCTTATTAAAAAAAAAAATAAATTGTTGAATCCTTTTCCTCCCTATACTCATTGTTTCTCCCAGACGAAGCCAACGAGCACATTTACAGGAATGCAAACACTGTGTTTAATAGTTTAACTACCTGTTAGCAAAAGTATATGCTTTTGCAATATGTTAATAAATCACTCTTCTCCAAGTGTCTCAGTAACATTGCTGCATTAGTAGGAATGACCACAGACCTTAATGAGAAGATTTGTTCTGCCCTAGCTCTCCAACATTCACTCACAGTGACTGCAACCCATGGCCATGGGTGCAGGACAAGCAGCAACTTGTGGAATTAAAAACCCAGCAGTGAAAACGAAAACAGCATCCTGGTACCATGATGCGCAATGGTCAGAGACCAAGCTCTTGGCAAAAGGAACTGAACAAAGCCAGAGCCTTTCTAAGTAACCTTGCACCCATTGCCAGCAAACCTACAGTGAAACCCTTCCCCTTGGCCTGTGCTGTCATTTCTCTGGCTGGGCTGCAGCTTGTGGCTGAGGGAGCAGCAAGGAACAGGAAGGAGAAGGAATGTGGGGGTGAAGAGACAGGCTTGAGCCTAGAAATAGTGGCTGGGACGTAATGTGATGGTGTTAGTGCTTTAATCCCAGGGAGAAATAAAATATTTGAGCAATGTTAATTATGTCTATTCCACGACTTTTTTTATGAATAAAATCACAGAAGAGCAAGGGTATCATCCAAGTGATATTCTGTGTTTCTTCATTACAGTTAGCTGTATGGTGCCACTGATATATGTGTTCTTGTACATGTCCTGGTTCTGGCCAAGTACAGAGTAATTTTTTGCAGTAGCTGTGAGGGGGCAGATCCTGGAGCAGTGTGAACGTGGCCAAGATCCACATGTAATTTGGTACCATCTCACCTCATGCCAAGGGTGGTGGAAGGGGATATTCTGGTTTTCAAAAAGAATGATGTGGTTTTTCTGGGGGAACGAAACCATGGCGGGCAGAAGGAAGCCGTCTGCCACTATTTCATTGTCCTGGGCTTGGTAAGCATGCTGCATGTAAATCACTCTCTCTTTGTACACTTTTGTTATTAGTATTGTTGCAGTTACTGTTTTCTCATCTCATTGCTGTTTCCAGTAAATTGTTCCTATCTCAACTGGAGATCTTTGTCTTTTGTGCTTTCAATATAAGCGGGAAAGGGGACTGAGTGGCAGCATGGTTTCAGTGGGAGCTCTAAATGGTGGAATACCATTCCTAAACCACAACAGCAAAAAAAATTAAATGTACTAATAAGATCCACTTTTACCCAAGAGTGCATCAACAGCTAATGGCTCAGGGAGTTAGGTAGATAAAAACCTGAATGTATTGGACCATGAATCTATGCTTACACTATCCTTTGATGACTGTTTAAGTGTATGTAATCCTGACACTGTAGTTTCATCTAAGGATGCACCATCAGTGTGTACACTTAAAAACGGGGATATTCAAGGAGGTCATGATATGAACAGTAGACAGTTATGGTTTCTGTTTGTTCAGACAGTTGAACTCAGGAGGAATCTAAAAGAGGAGCTGCCTCTGAAGCACTCAGGGTAAATGCTGGACTGGTTACTGAAGAAGCAGAGCAGACAGGCTATGAATGCTACGTCTTACTCAGGTATGGAAAGAGTTTTTGCCTTAATCGTACCATATTTAAACCTGAGTTGTACACAGGTACTGCTTGGGTAAGAAATTATCCATATAGAGTTAACTATGTTTTTGTATATATAACCTCATGATTTTGTTGCAGAGTTGGGAAAGGAAAATTTGTTGGGTTCTTGAGTTTACTGGCCCAGAGGAACCTACATAAATTTACATCTATATATAAACCATGCATTTGTTATTACTAGATAGTCTAGACTTCACTGAAGTCTAAAATTCCCTGCTTATCACATGCCAATACGCTGCAAATGGATATTACTTTGCTCATATGTAAACTTTGTGTCCAACACATCTTTACAGAGAGCATCTTTGCCCTTGCCTTATCCTGGAGACGTTCTCAAGGTCAGTCTGAAAGTTCCTTAGGCACCTAAAGACAAGCATCTACTTCACTTGGACATGTGCCTTCATAGTTCCTGAAGAACACCTATTGCAACCTAGTGTTTGGATGATTTTTCACCTCAGTTCACCCCTTAGATGTGCTCTGAGAATCTTAATCTAGAAAAATAACATTAAAAGTGGGAGCTGGAGGTCATCAAATCCTCTGCTAGCCCCAGGCTGGATGAGTTTGTATCTGACCTGCTGCTCAAGAATTCTGGTGACAGAGAATCTACTGTTTCCCCTGGTGAGCTGTTCTAGTACATAATTACCTTGCTGCAAGGAAATGTGCCTTTTCACCTAGCCTAACTGTCCATTCTTTGATTAAAGGCTACTCTTGTCATATCACCACAGATATGGATAACAGATCCTACTTACTTAGCAGCAGTCAGTCTTGGAGATACCCAAATTTCAGATCATGACCTCCACCAACAACCCTAACTCTTTCACAACCTTCCTTATAAGTTCTGGATTTTAGCCCTTACATCATTCTCATTGTTACTGTGTTTTCTCTGTTTGGTTCACGTCATTCACAGAGTGGGATGTCAATAACTCAACACTACACAGGGCAGCTCCTTTAAGGGCTCCCCAGCACTGAATCTTGGAGACAAAACCCAGAGGCTTTGCAGGCGATATTGCTGTTTAAATAGTTAATTGACATGGTCATACCTGACATTTGGAAGCACTTACCCAGGACACTATGATTTCTACCCATTCCTGAGTTTGAAGATGTTGGATCCATGCTGTCCCTGTACTAAGAGAATGCTCTGTATTTCAGCTGGTTTAGCTAGATCTGCGGTCAGCTGTAGTTGAATCACTCTGCAGCTGGAAAAAAAAGATCCACTTGGACAGAGTAAAAAAACACCACAGGATGGAAAAATGCAATCAAATGGTTATGGCATTGGAATGGGAATGGCCTCTGGGAATGGCTTCTGATGTTGATCTTTATTTTTGTAGTTCATAGTCCTCATGCTTTTGTATTATCATTGTCAATCTAGTCTAGGAAGTTATAATACAGGGTAAACTTAAGAGGACAAACATGTCGCAAGGGTTTACTCTGTTCTTTCCGGGAGGGACAGGACCAATGCATTCAGGTTCCATTTGCACAATTATTCTGACTCCACATCAGTGGGGTGGGCATACCTCTGCTTCATGGGAGCTGCAACAAGTATGATTCATCTAGAAAAATAAAATTCAAGCATAAAAAGCCCATGCATAGATACTTATAGGATAAAGACCAGAGTCTTAGTCATAATGAATTCCCTAGGATCACATAACTGGAACTACCTTTCTTCAGAGGAACAGCCTTGGAATAAGAAATCACTGAATAAAAATTTCAATTTTAGGCAATGGAAAATTATGTCACATATGTTGTGTATGTATATATTGGCAGGGACGCATGTGTGTCTAAAAGAGACATCTGAATTATAACCTGAATTAAAATGTTAAAAATAGTAGGATTCTGTTTAGCAGAGGTGACATAAAGAGACCTCCTTCGTCTCCCAGTAATGCACACTATTGTTTAATGGCAGACTGCTCTATTTTGATCACCAGTACATCATCATCCTGCCTTACAGTGCTTCATATCTCATTCTCCTTTCATTCCTCAGACATAACACCATATCATTCTGCCTTTTAGGCCAGTCATGATGTTTTTGCACATCCTTATGTACTCAGCTAAGATGATTTATTCACGGTGAGAGGAGGAATTACATGTTCATTGTGGGTATGGAGTGTGACTTGCCAACAGTGCCCTTGTAAAAACCCTTTACTGATCTCTGTAACGTAACAAATAAAACACAGTTGATTTGACAGCAGGATAAACAGAAGTATTTTCATCTCCTTTTCAGCTTGCGAGTTTGAGGATGATCACTTTTTCTTTAAAATCTGTAATTTCTCTTAATATTTTGGCCATTGGCATTGCTTGATGAAAGTGAGGCCAGATGGGCACAAGAAAGGACAAGTCATAAGTGAAAAAAAGGGCAATGTTTACAAATGAATTTAGCCATCATTAAAGTGACTTAATTATGTAAGATAATTTTGGAACCAAATCAGTTTTCTTGAACTTGGGTGACCAGGCCCCAGTGGGTCTTCTGTCATCAAGTTCCTACTATGTTTGCTAGGATTTCTTATACGCAGAGACTGTCAGGCTCCACTGTTATGTGTCTGTGCAGCAGATAGGGAGAGATGGTCTGCGAGAAAGTGCTGTCTCCAATGGTGGGGAAAGGAAAACCTTGAAAGTAAAGTGAGCTAGTAGGCATTAAAGTTCCTTTATATAACTGAGTGCTGTAAGTTTCCCCAGGTAAGAGAATCCAGGTTCAGTTTTCCTGGCATGACTGGGAACTGCAACTCCCTATTTCCATGTTTGTGGTGCTGCTCTCGGCCTTAGCAGCCTGGCCTGAGACAAATCAGCACCATTTCTGATATGTATATACAGTGGTGGGATATGTGAAAGGGAAGTATGCAAACAATAAATATTATTTTTTAACTGGACTTCCACTGCCTGAATGAGCTGAGAATCCACTAGGATGCCTCTAATCCATGTGAAACATCAGTAAAAGAACAAGGGAAAATGCTCTCCCACAGCTGGGATGGAGCAGTTTGCCACCAGAGGGAGTCATGTGAATACAGTAAAAGGGGTTGTTTGGCACAGGAAAGGTCATTAGATATTTCAGCCATAAGGCTCAATGATCAAAGTTTTCTCTGGCCACCGCTAATTTTCTAGCAATTCAACATGCAATGAAAATCAGCTTGAAAGTCTGGCTTTTGGCTAAACGTGCAAATTTCCTTGCTAAAAATGCTACCTTGATGTTTCATACTCCATCTTCATAATTTGTGCAAAGTATCCGCTTGCTCAATAAAACAAAATTGCTAACTAAGCCACTCCAATTTTATGCTTGAAAATACAACTCCAGGACTGAAAATCAAGATGTGCTTTAAATACCATGTACACTTTCACTAGTATAATTAGTATAAAAATTGTGGTAATCTGAAATTTTTCTGGCAATTGCTTTCCTGGTGATAAAGCAGATTACATCTACTGAAATGGCTCTGCATTGCTGAAAGCAGGCTGAGCTACAGAGCATCATGCAACAAATACTTGGGCTCTGGAGATGAGTAGAGGGTGGAAGAAATACATCATCGTTGTGTAGAATTATTCTTTTGACTAAATCCAATGTTTAAAGAGGTAAGGAATCTATTTCAAATAATACTGAAGTCCTTTACACTGCCAATATGCTTTACAACAGGCAACAGAAGATGATACGATCTGATGCTTAGCAGAAGAAAAAGAAGTCCTTTAAAGAAGTTTGTCCATTTAGTTCCTTCTTTGGTCTTACGTGCTACACTTTAATTCCTGGTACTTTTGATACGTGCTTTAACTTGGAAATGTGTGTACAACCCTCCCTGAAGTAACAAAACTAATAAAATTTTAGGAAACTATTCATCACTCATTAAAATCCAGGTTCCCATCGCTGCACAGGGTTAAGCATTGTGTATCAGAAATGGAAGAAACAGCAGACTGAAAAAGAACTTAAATAAAAGAGAACTCAAATAAAAGGGAAACAGCAATTTCAAGCCCGGAGGGTGCCCGCAGATCCCCCACAGTTCTTTGTGGCAGGTGTAGGGTGGAATTAGGTTATCTTAGATATACATAATAAATATGATATGTATAAATACCTCTGCTTTTCCCAGCTTGCTGCCTATTCCCCCTTCTACTCACTGCTCCTCCTCTGTAGCACTTACACAATTTTTCTGCAGCTCTCTGCCAAACCAAAGTTAATTTTAAGGCTAGAGTATGTCACAGAAGAGGTGCTGCTGAGTCTTTAAGTATTCCTCTTTTTCGCTGTGAGTGAATTCTTTATAAGCTAAAGATTTCCTGCCTTTTGGGAATTCTGACATTTTCATTCTACAGGCCAAACATCTTATGATATTTGCAATTTTCATCATCCTTTTCCCTTAAACTTACAAGAAATTTGAGGTCTAGAACTTGTAAAGACTAAAATAAACCATGAGTATCTTGCTTTCTATCTTCCCTTTCATACCTAGCAGAATGGAGCTGTTCTGGTAGCAATCAAGTAACTCCTTAAATTACAGCACATACAGAATGCTGCCTGTTCATAAATACAGATATAACAATTAAGGAAAAATTATTTTTAAGATTTATGTTTTTACAACTTTCATACGTGCAGGAAAGTTTAAAAAATAATTAAAGATAAGAGTAAAGATTAAAATGGAATTTATAATTTGGCTTAACTAAATTATTCTTAATATTTGAGACTATTGATACTATCCTCATTAGTTTTTCTGGGGAGGGAACATGGAATTCCTTGTAAGGATCCATGGAGGGAATTTCATCACAGTTTGCTGAAGTAGTGGTGAATCTAGTTTGCTGTTGATCTTATAACTCAAGCAAATTTTGTAGGTGTTGCTTTTCTTGCATTTTGTACCAGAGAATAGCAGAATCTGCAAAGATTCATGATCCTCCTGTACAGTCTTCTCTATCCTATAGCTTTTTGTGCTTTACTCCAACAAACTGTCATGGGACGTATCTATACATCACAGTGCCTGTGCTTAGAGTTTTTGAGGGCTTTTATAGGACATATGTAATGAAGCTGCAGTGTTGTGCCTTCCAGAGCTCTAGAAGGTAGATACACTTGTGGAGGGAAGGAAAATAACTTGACTTTTTTTTTCCAACAGTTAAAATTAATTCAACACAATCAACAGTGCTTATGTAGCTCCATAAAACAATGTTAAATACAGTTATTGTCCTTACCTGCACCTTTGGAAATGAATTATGTTCATACCATTTTAAATTGTCCACATGCAAAACCTTGTCCTGTTTCAATTTTACAGGTTCAAAACACATGTTGAAAGTTGCAGCTGAGCAGGTATTTAGAGTATTATTTTACTTTAAAATTGATCAGAAATATTTTTAGTTAAACAACCTCTGACTATTGTTTTATTAATTTTTAAGTGTTAGTAAAACGTTTCAGCATTTCAGCATTTTTAACAGATAATTAAGGATAAGTGAAGGGAAATGGCTCATCTTTATGAAATAAAATTCTTAGTTCAACTACAATTTTGAATCACTGTAAACTTTAATGCTAGGGTATCTATTTTAATATGATATTTTTCATATCAATATTTTCTAATGTCTTTATACAAAATAGTAAGTGTTCCAATATTTAAAAATCATACTACTTCAGAATAAATACAATTCTGGTTTTACATTTGTATCCCTGTTTGGAGTGAAACACTGTGAAATATTACATTTTCCACTGAACTACACATTCTGTTTTCTAAGAGGTTCTATTTTATTTGCTTGAAAAATACCACCAGTTCAAACCTGATAATGTTCCATATCACGACCAAGAAGTTCATAATGACATGCTTGGTGCCTTCTAAGCTTGCAGATAGTTAGTCAGATTCTGTAAAATGCTTCATGTTGTAAGGACTTCTTAATAACATGACTAGGAGAAATCCTTTATCTTTAGTAATATTTTAGGCAACAGAAGAATCTCAGAAATTAAAGTGTTGCTCCCAAAGCTAGTTATTTTCCCAAGTCAAATAAGAAATACACAGATTAGGGGGTTTTTGTGTGTTTCCTCTAATTCAGTAAGACAAACATTGTGGAAGACAGGCATTTTCAGAGCTGATTGAAAAAAACAGATATCAGGGAATACACAGCTCTTTCAAGAAAAGAAGAATATTAAGTAGCCTTTGAGAAGCACTGCAATGTGACATTTTTACAAGGAACTCATTTGGAAAAAAGGAAAGAGCAGATACTCAGAAGAGACTCGGAAAAGTGCAGCTATTATGTGTT